GTTATAATTTTTGCTTCTACCATCAGACATAATTTAGAAGCCTCCAGAGGAGAAGGAAAGTCTGTTGTGTTTCCCACATATTTGCTTCCCATGTTCTGTCTTCCTTTCTGACGTCCCAAGTTCCCTTCTCTTATCACTTTCCGAAGAACTTTTTTAGCCATGATTTTAGGGCAGGTCTGCTGACAACAAATACTTAGTTTTCCTTCATATGAGGCTGTCTTTGTTTTTCCTTCTTTCCTGATCAATATTTTTGCTGGGTATGGTATTGTGGGTTGACGATTCTTTTTTTTTTTTTTTTTTTTAAGATTTTATTTATTTGACAGACAGAGAGACAGTAAGAGAGAGGGAACACAAACAGGGGGAGTGGGAGAGGGAGAAGCAGACTTCCCAGTGAGCAGGGAGCCCAATACGGGGCTCGATCCCAGGACCCTGGGATCATGACCAGAACTGAAGGCAGACGCTTAACGACTGAGCCACCCAGGTGCCCCTGAAAAATACTGTGCGTCTTCCTCTGGCCTCTGTGGTTTCTGATGAGAAACCCATTGTCATTCACATAGTTTCTCCCTTATAAGTAATGTGTCATTTTTCTCTGGCTGTTTTCAAGATTTTTTTTTTTTGCCTTTAGTTTTCAGAAATTTAATTACAATATGTCTCACCGTGGGCATCTTTGGGGTTCACTGAGCTTCTTGAATTTCTAGGCTTATGTCTTTTGCCAAATTTGGGAAGTTTTAGCCATGACTTTCTGAAGTACTTTTTCCTCTTCATCCTGTTTCCTCTTTCCTGGGACTCTGATGACAGGAGTGATAAATGTTTTTGATTGTCCCACAGGTCCTTGAGGTTTTGCTCATTCAGTCTCTTTTCTCTGTTACGTTCAGATTGGGTGATTTCTCTCCACTGTTCTATCTTCAAGTTCACGGATTCTTTACTCCTTCCCTCCATCTGCCAGTGAAGCTATCCATTGAATTTTCTATTTCATCTATTATGGTTTTTAGTTCTAAAATTTCCATTTGTTTTTTCTTTATGTCTTCTATTTCTTTGCTAAGGCTTTATTTCTTTGCTGAAACTATTTTTTTCATTTGTCTCAAACATGTTCATAATTGCCACTGAAGCATTTCTATAATGGCTTCTTTAAAAATCTTTGTCAAACCTAGCATCTTTGTCATCTCAGCATTTATTGTCTGCATTCAGCTTGACATCATCCTGGCTTTTGGTATGATGAGTGATTTTTTTACTGAAACCCAAACATTTGTATATTATGGGACTCTGGATCTTATTTAAACCCTTGTCTTGGCTGGCTCCCTCTCACACAGGTAGGGGAAGATGGGGAGCTGCCATATTACTTCCAGGTGGGCCTAGCAATCCAGACTTCCTGGTTGGCCTTTGTTGACCCCTGAGTGGGGGGTTCCTCATTACTTTGCAAGAACTCTGGCTAGACCTGCCTGCATACCTCCCTGCCTGGCAAAGGTGGGAGTACCTTACACTAGCTCCCCATTTGGCCTCCACTGTCACATGGCAAGCATGTCAGGAGAGGTCTCCACACCACTTGGGTCCTCACTTTCCACCAGGCCTCTGATGACACTACTCTTGTTACTGCTGGGGGGGCGGGGAAGGCAGGTTGCCACATGGTATCCTCTGACGTTTCCTTCCCCATCCTGGAATTGCAGTTACACGCATTTACGTGACTAATATGCTTTATATAAATATATTAGGCAGATTAGACAGCACTAAATATTTGAAGAGAAAGGGATTTCAGTTTCTCTTGTATTGTTCCTGTTGGATGATGACTCTTACAGCATTAACTGGAACTTTTGCCTCAGCTGGTCAGAGGTTCCATGGCTACAGCCTGGCCCACGGGAGCCCTTCCCGCCGCCCTGCCCTCTGCACCCCTCTGGAGGGGCTGAGGTGGTGGGTACCCCCGTCTTCATTCACCAGCGTAGATGCTGGCAGGGCCTGAGGTAGCAGAGCTGGTCCAGGCAGAGACGGCACTTACAGTCTTGTGTGTCTTTTTTTTTTTTTTTTTTTAATATTTTACTGATTTATTTGAGACAGAGAGAGAGCACAAGCAGGGGGAGCAGCGGAGGGAGAGGGAGAAGCAGGCTCCCCGCTGAGCAGGGAACCTGACGTGGGGCTCGATCCCAGGACCCCGCGATCATGACCCGAGCCAAAGGCAGATGCTTAACCGACTGAGCCCCTAGGTGCCCCAAGTCCTGTGTGTCTTCCTCCCCAGCTTCGGCCTTGTCCTTGGTCCTGCGCTGCCCACCCCCTTGTTGCAGGCACATTTATGGAGAGCCAGGAGATGCTGCCTCTTCTCCTCCCTCCTAGCTGTCCCCGAGCTATGTCTGTGCTGTCCCTGAGATGCAGCCTGGCTGGGGCCTGGGGACCCCGCAGGGCCGGCCTCCTCGCCCAGGGTTCGTTCGGGTTTTGTCTGTACTTTACTCACATGAGATAAGACCCCTCGCAGATTTTGGTAGCCCACCTCTTTTCACCTCATATTTCCACATGAGCATTTTTCCATTTATTACCAAGTTTTCGAAAGTACTTTTAAAAATACGATTTTATTTTGGAGCAGTTTTTTAAGAGTTACAGAAAAGTTGCAAAGATAGTGCAGAGTGTTCCCTGCTGGTGACATCTTCCAGCACCACACCAGGTCTCCAGGGCTGCCACAACAAAGCCCCACGGCCCGGAGGGCTCAGATCACAGTTCTGGAGGCCCCAGGTCCAAGGTCAAGGAAGGTGGCAGCGGGGCTACGCTCTCTGCTAAGCTCCTCAGAGAGGATCCTTCTTTGCCTCTTCCAGTTGCTGGTGACCCCAGGAACTCTGTGGTATGTGGCGGTCTCACCCCAATCTCTGCCTTCATCCTCACACAGTCATGTGTCATGCGTCCACATCTCTCTGTGTCCTCTCCTCTTCTTAGGAACACTTGTCATGGGATTTAGGGCCCACCCTAAATCCAGGATGACTTCATCTTGAGATCCTCAGCTAATTGGACATGAGATCACATTCTGAGGTTCCAGGTAGATGTGAATTTGGGGGAGACACTGGCCCACTGCACCATGGGATATTTGTCACAGCTAAGTAGCTAACATTGGTACATGACTCTTCACTAAACTCCACACCTCCTTAGGATTTGAGCTCGTTTTTTTTCCCCCCACACAAATGCCCTTTTCCTGTCCCAGGACCCCATGTTACATTTAAAGGTCATGTCTCAGGGGCGCCTGGGTGGCTCAGTCATTAAGCGTCTGCCTTCGGCTCAGGTCATGTTCCCGGGGTCCTGGGATCGAGCCCCACATCAGGCTCCCTGCGCTGCGGGAAGCCTGCTTCTCCCTCTCCCTCTCCCCCTGCTTGTGTTCCTTCTCTCGCTCTCTCTCTCTGTCAAATAAATAAATCTTTAAAATAAAATAAAGGTCATGTTTCAGACTCTTCTTGGCTGTCACAGTTTCTCAGACTTTCCTTGTTTTTGATGACCTTGACAGTTTGGAGGAGAGCTGGTCAGGTGTCCTGTAGAATGCCCCTGGGTGGAGACATGTCTGATGCTCTTCTCATGGTTAGACCGGGGTTGTGGGTTTTGGGAGCAAGACTGCAGAAGCAAAGTGATCTTCTCATCACACTCTCTCAAGGGCATCTGCTTTCAACAGACTCATCCCTGTGATGTTGACCTTGGTCCCGTGGCCAAGGTCGTGCCTGCCAGGTCTCTCCACTGCCATTGTCTCCCCCCACCATTCGGAACTCCACAGAAGGGGGTCTCCAAGCAAAGCCCACACTCAAGGAGTGGGCACCTACTGAGAATTCTTCTGCCCGGAGGACTCCTCTCTTCTCCCTCACTTACTTATATATTCAATCACTTCTTTCAGTGGGGACTCACGAATATTTGTTTTACACTTTGTGTTATCACCCAATAGGACAGTATTGATTTTGCTGCAAGCCTTGGCTTTTGGGAGCTCTTTCAGGTTGGCCCCTGTGTCCCTCTGACTGCCCTCTGTCCTTTTGCTGTGTGAGCACTTCCTTACTTTATGGTATAAATCGAAAGGGATGGTCAAGAGCCATTTTTTATGCACACCAGCAAATTGTATTACAGAACGATTACTTCGTGTCGCCGTCTCTAAGCCTGAAGTCCAAGCTGCCTGCAGGCTGATTCCCACTTACTGTGCAGCTGAAGATGAGCCCCCATTGCACAGGTGGCCAGGGCCGGGAGTTCGCTAGCTCCGTGGCCACCCTGGGCCAGTGATGGAGGTGTAAACCCCACGCTGTGCCTTACAGCGTCTTGAGGACTAAAAATAGTATTCTGAATTGTTCACCATAGCACCAAACTGGAAGCAATCTGCAATGTCCATCCACAGTAGAATGGATGAAAGCTTTGTGATATAGTCCCCCAAACATACAGCCACAAAAATAAGCCGGCTACAATTCGGGACATCTCCTTACGAGGCTAATGAATGCAGCGCAGGGCCAAAGAGGCGAGAAGCACCTGGACACACAGGAGGGTTCCGGTCACATGCGTCCAAGTGGCAAAACCGCCCCTGTTCCGTCGTTTAAGAGTCTTCACTAACGAGGCACCGTGAGAAAGAAGAGAGCGGGGTGACCAGCAGGACATGCCTGGGGGCTCATGTGACAGAAGCCTGAGGCTGCCCAGGGGGCTGGCATGTGCTGTGCTCCGCAGGGCTTCCAAGCAATGAGTGCCCTCCTCTCTCAGCTGGAGTCCAGGGGTGGGTGGGCTTCGGGGCAAACCCAGTGGCTCTGACTTGGTTTCCCCAGGACTACAGTGGAGGAAGGGAGGATATGAGGTGGAACCTCCCCAGTAGGCCCTGACCTCCAGGGGACTCCCAGGAGCTGATGAGCTTAGATCCGGGCTCCAAGGTGACTCAGGGTCAGGGACAGGTTCTGCTCTCCGGACCTCATGCAGCTCTTGGGGCTGGGGCAGACGGCGGTGGGGGGTGGGGGGATACAGGCCTGCTCCAGGGGGCACCTCCGGCTCTGACCATGCTGGGTTGGCTGTCTGAGCAGATGGCTGAGCTGAAGCAGCAGTGTGCTGAGAGGCGCCTCCAGGAGGAAAGGTCCATGAAGGAGCTGGTGGAGCAGGTGACAGAGGTGCAGAAGAATGTTAAGCTGGCGCAGATGAAGCTCCTGAAGAGCCGAAGGCAGATAGGTACAATGGGGGGCCCGGCACCATGAGGCCGCGCCCAGCTCTGCCAACCCCCCCACCCCAGCTCAGGTCCCAGGCCGGCTTCCGGCCTCAAGTGAGCCACCGTGGTTGGCAAGAGCCCAGCTGCTCTCAAGGGAAGGCTGGGGCTGGGCCGGCTGCCCTCCGAGCCCCTCAGCACCCTGCTTGGCCCCCAAGTTCAGGAGGTGATAGAGGAGAGCCGGGAGCTGCTGCAGCGCACTCTACAGGCAGCCAAGGAGGAGCAGAAGGAGCGCTGCGAGCTCGTCTCCCAGCTTCGGGCCCTGGAGACCCAGCCCGTGCGCAAGGGCAAGCTCGTGGACCTGACCCAGGTAAGGACACGGCCTGTCCTAGGGGAGCCTGGCACTGCCATGGGAGGGCATGTCCACAATTCCCACCGGTCCCAAGCCAAGGTCCACCCGGCACGAGTGGCACGCCCAGCTGTGGATGCGGCACCTGCCACGTGCCAGGCCTAGGGCTGGCCCAAGACTCCACAGTCCTGTCAGGGAGACCTCTGTGACCTCCGGGGGCCAGGGCCCAGGGGCCCTGGGAGGGGGCAAGGTAGGCTTCACAAGCTAGGCTTCAACAGGTTGAAGGTGGTCGCAGGACTCCCCAGGCCCAGGCGGGCAGGGCAGTGTAAGAACAGTGCAGGTGCGCAGAGGCTGGATGCACAGAGGCTGAGAGGAGAGCACTGGTCTCTGGAAGCCTGTGTGCGAAGAACCAGGAGAAGCCAGGCTGGCATCTGGTGAGGCGGGAGCCGGCCTGGAAGGGCCACGGCAGCTGGTCTGGGAACTGGGCCTGATCCCAGGGGATGTGGGAAGTCCAGAGGGCACTCAGCCCAGGCCATGGGGCCTGGCTTGGGGAGACAGCAGTGAGCTCCGTTTGGGCCGTACCCCAGTAGAGGCGCCTACAGGGCACCCAGCTGCGATGTGCAGTCACCAGAGGGGGGTCCAGGCTGGAGAGGCTGAATGGCAGACATGTTACACAGGGCTCCTGAGCAGAGGGAAGGAGGTCTCCTGGGCACAGAGGCCAGACCGAGGGAATTGGGGGAGGGGCACCAGTGCTGGGGCAGAAGACACGTCAGGGCACAGGAGACGGCCCTGCAGGCTGGGCATGGGCCTGACTCCCAGCTTCGGCTCTCCCCATCACCCTGCAGATCCCTGGGTATGGCCTGGAAGGGGAGATGTCTGTGGTGGAGCTTCGTGAGCGGCTGGCCCTGCTCAAGGAGACCCAGCGGCGCGAAGAGGAAGAGAAGCGAGACCAGATCATCCAGGGCAAGCGCGCCAGAAGCCAGGAACTGCAGAATATGGTGGAGCAGATCTCACTGTGCCGCGCGGCCATGGGGAGGTCTGCGGCCTTGAGGTCGGTACTGGTGGTCCCCGGGGCAGGCGCCTCTGGCAGGAGCACGCAGCGAGCCTCCTCCCGGGCGGGTTCTCCCTACAACAACACACCGCCCTCCTGCAGTTTCCTTGCAATAGCTTCTCCCACCCCAACTATTTTATATATCATTTTCAGATGTGAAAAAATCGTGCAGTGAGGGCTTGGATGCAAAATGTTCCCATGTAGGTCACGAGTACGACCTTTGCCATGTGTTCCATCTAGCTAGCCACTTATCTGTCCCTAAAGAACCATCTGGAAGTAGTTGCAGACATCAGACACTCTTCACTCCTGAACACTTTGGTGTGCATCTTCTGAAAAAAAGACATGTTCCTGCATAACCACAGCACAATTACACAACTAGATATTTCAACAAAAATTCCCATCATCTAAATATCCTCTCCGTATTCATGTTTCCCTAGGGTCCCAAGACTGTCTGCTATAGTTTTAAAAGATTGTGTGCTGTAATTGTCTTTTTTTTTTTCTTTTTAAACCAGAACCTGGCTGAGATTCACACAGCATTTGATTGTCAGGCATCTTGACTTGACTTCTCTCTTTTAATGGAGAGCACGTGCACACGTACCCCCTTTTTTGGGGAACACTGTGGTGGCTTTTCCAGCCCCATGCGTCTGTCCCGTGGCAGCATGGTCACCCCCCTGGGTCAGGTGGCACCCAGCCCTGTCATAGCATAGCCTGGTTCAGGGTCTGGCACCCAGGGCTCCAGAGAAAGTGTGTAACTGGGGTGGGGTGGACAGAAGGGAGGACTGTCACAAAACCCATCACTATTGATCCTGAGCGACTGCTGCTCGGGTTACAATTGGAGGAGGCCCTGTGACAACTGTGGGGGCTGTCCAGGCAAGGCTGGCTGGCCACCCAGCAGGTCCCCAAGGTGGCAGGCACGTGGGAGACTTCACCGCTTCCAGACTCGGCCTGACAGACCCCACGTGCAGTCTGGTTGGTGCTGGGGAGCCTCCAAGGATCCAAACCTGCTAACGAGGCTCCTGGAGCCCTCCGCGTGCAGCCAGACCTCGTGGCATTGATTCACCAGGACCATTCTCGTGGGCAGTCTGCCTGGCGGTGCCGTGATGTGCACTTAACCCAAAGCCATCAGGGAACAGTCTGTAGAGTGAGGCCTCATTTTGGAAGGAAAAATGGCCTAGTATGATAGAGATTTGCAAAGCTGTATTCGCAGCTCTTGCCCCTAGGCAAGAGTGGCAAGGAGAGCCCAAGGTAAAAGAGGGTTTTCCCTTTTTTGCTCCAAATACCTCCGTAGCTAATAGACATGGGGTACGTTTCCATGACGTTACGTGCAGAGCCAACAGGCCGTGGCGCCGGGCGGCACCCCGGCGGTCCTCGGAGAGCCTCTCCCCCGGCACCGGAAACACTCCCGGTAACCTGCCGCGAGGGCCCCTCCTCAGGCCGCCCTGTCGCCCGCTCAGGTGGGAGGAGAGGAAAGCCCGGTCTGCGGCCCCGGGGACGCCCTCGCGGGACGAGCGCGTGCTGGAGCTGCAGCGCAAGATCCAAGAGAAGGTGGCGGAGCGCCGCCGCACGCAGGCAGCCCCGAAGCCGGCGTCGGCGCCGGGACCCGCGCGCCCTCGGCCGTGGGTGAGCTCCGGGAGCTGGCGGGAGGCTGGGGGCCCGGCGTCCTCGGGGGGCGGGGGAGGCCGCGGATGGGGGCGCAGGGTCGCTGGGCCCGCGCCGACCTCGCCGAGGGCCCGTCCGCAGGCGCACTTGGAGGAGCGGCACTGGCAGGAGCTGCAGCGGAGCCGGGAGCGCCGGCTGCGGGCGCTGCTGCTGAGTAGCTCGGCCGGCGGGCCCGGGCGCCGCCTGGAGGCCGCCTGAGCCGGGCCGGGCCCGCCGCCCAGCCGCCGCGCATCCCGCGCGGGCGACGGTGCGGCGGGCGGGGCGCGCCTCCTCTTCCTCCGCCCCTTCGCCCGGCTCCACGCCCTCAGCCGCCGCAGAGCCCCCCGCCCAGAACAGGGTTGCGGTATAAAATGTAAGACGCCCAGTTACTGCCTGGGACAAACGCGCCAAAAAAAGTATCCGCTTTTTACCGGCAATTCAAACTTACTGGGTGTCCTGTATTTTATATGGTAAATCTGGCCACCCTTGCCTAGGTCCTAGCCCTTACCTAGGGCCCAGGGCAAAGCATTGGCCACGCCCCTCCTCAAAGCTCCCAGAGCCACCTCTGCACGTGAAAACTTGGAATCCCCCTCTCTGCCCGGAGTCTGACGGCTTAACCTGTGTGGTTGTGCGCGTGAGTTTGGTTGAAGGGGCCAGGATGCTTGAGCCCCTGGGAAATGGCCTATCTCCTGACTTATCTCCAGCAAACCTCACTGCGGCCATAGCGGGGAGGGGGCCCATGGGGATGCAGGAACTGTCCCCTACCCCCATTCTGCTGATGAGGCCAGGAGTCCTCAAAGAGGTAAAGTAACCAGCCCCAAAAGCCTTCACCCAAAGCTAAGTCTGCATGATTTTAGAGCGCCACCCAGCCTTCTCCAGCAACACCAAAGGAACATGACTGGAGACAGTGGGCATGAGCCCAGACAAGGACACACTCATTTTCTTGGTTCCTCTGGATCCAGCGCCAGGCTGGAGAGGGCATGACCTTGTGGACAGGCTGACCCAGCGAAAGCATGCTGTGGAAATGCAGATTCATGACTGAAGCACAAGGTGTGCAGCTCCAGAGAGCACATAGTCTGGGCAAGGCCGTGGGGGAGAGGCTGGAAACAGCCAAGTAGGTAGGTGTCCAGGAGAGAGATGCCCCCAAAGCTGACATCCTCCTTGGGTCTGCGGGGGAGATGACACCTCAGAGAGGGAGGCTGAACCTCAGGGCACATTCCAACCAGGAACATGGGCATTTTGAAGTAAGACAACAGACTGAACACAAGCGTTCTCCCCCAGTATTTTGAACAGTGTCAGAAACGCAGGACTTACCCAGGTCAATAGAAAGGAATTTCCTACCTCCCTGTCAAAAAGGCTGGGGGCAGATTAAATTTCATTTAAAGAAACAAATGTGACATTTCTTATATCCTGTGTTACATGTGATTCAAACCCACTTCATTTGATATCAAGGAAATACATTGATGATGACCTGTCCAGAGTCCCTCAGGAGCTCTGAGAGTTTCAAAGGATGAACTATTAACTCCTGTAACTGGCAGTCCAAAGGTGGGGTGGGCTTCAGGACATGCCTGATGCAGGAGTTTGGTCTTCAAGCTGGTAGCAGTTCCAGCCTCACGAAATCGAGGAATAAGGGTCATCTCTCCCTGGTGGCTCTCTCAGGAGGGTTGTCTGTCCTCAAGGCCTTGTGTGAACATCTGCTCCAGTCTCACTGGCCTGAATTGAACAAGCTCTGCGGAGCCAGTTCCTGCAGTGGGGGAAGGTCTTTATCGGTGCCCAAAGCAAGCACCGTGGCAGGAGGAGGGGAGAACAACCCTTCACCTCTCCAACTGGCTTCTCGAGCAGAGGCGGGGAGGTGCTATTGGCAATGATGCTGGTTGGCAGGGCACACCAACGTCCCTAACTGCCCTCTTGGACTGGGCAGCTGCTCAGAGTACCTGGAGCTTCTGCTCCATACCAACCTGAGGGGGAATAGGCCTTGGGCCAGCCCCTGAGGCTGTGGCCTGAGGGCAGGCCTTATGTTCTAGATTGATGGCAAAATGTCTCCAGTATCCAGGTCCCCTGCCTCGTGACCTCCCACTAAGAGGCAGTCTATTTCCCTCAGTCCTTGAATCTGGGCTGACTTGTGTTGGCCAATAGGGGGCAGCAGAAGTGGCTGTGTGCTGGTTCGGAGGCCGGGCCTCATGTGGCCTTGGAGCTCCCTCTTGTTCTCTTGGAACCCTGCCCAGCCCCAATGTGAGCATGTCCAGGGTGGCCCGCTGGGATGAGACACTATATGAGGTCAGCCAGTTGTCCCAGCAGAAGCCATCCTCACTCGTACTACAAACCAGCAGAACCCAACATGTGAGGCCAGCCAGAACCCGAACCCTCTCCCTGCCCCCACTAACTTGTAGAGTCATTAACAATAAATGCCTGTTTGTTCAAAGCACTGAGCTTTGAGGTTTGTTCAGAGGTAGCAGCTAACTGGCCTTCATTTACTGAGGCTTCCCCCTACATGCAAGAGCCTTTTAAAAAAAAAAAAAGTTTTTTTAAATTTATTTTGGGAGGGGGGAGCACCCGGAGCTGGACGTGGGGTTTGATCCCACAACCCTGAGATCATGACCTGAGCTAAAACCGAGAGTCGAACACTTAACACACTGAGCCACCCAGGCACCCCCTTCATGAGCCCTTTGAGAGAGAGTCAAACTGCCCCTGGAAAGAGGGCCAGCCAAGAGAAGCCAGGTCCAGCTCATGCTGAGAAAGCACTCTCTGGACCACCCAGGGAATTGACCTTCTGCTTCAGTGTATTTTCTGCATAAGTGCAGCCAGAAGACCCTCATTGACAGTACCTGAAACTCACTTGGCTAGAGGTTCTTTGCAAATAGTAAAAAGCAGATTCTCCGACCTCATCCACAGAGATTCAGGTTCTGGGGTGATGCCCAGGAATCTACATTAGCTGTATGGCACTTGGAAGCACCAAAGTTCCAGTCTTTTCTCTGAGCTGGAAACATTCAGGGCCAGAGGCATTAGCTGTGAGGGAGCCAGGGATGTTCACACCCCAAGTTCAATGTCAAATGAAGTTCAGAAAGAACTTGAAGGTCACGACCCTGAGATCATGACCTGAGCTGAAATCAAGGGTTGGACGCTCAACTGACTGAGCCACCCAGGCGCCCCTCAACATTACATCTTTAATGTGATGTATTAAAGTTACAAATAGAGAGGCACCTGGGTCGCTCAGCCCATTAAGCATCTGCCTTCAGCTCAGGTCATTTCCCAGGGTCCTGGGATGGAGCCCCGCATGGGGCTCCCTGCTCAGTGGGGAGCCTGCTTCTCCCTCTGCCCCTCCCCCGCTCATGCTTGCCCACCAGCGCGCTCATTCTCTCTCTGAAATAAATAAAATCTTTTTAAAGATTTTATTTATTTGACAGAGAGAGACACAGCGAGAGGGAACACAAGCAGGGGGAGTGGGAAAGGGAGAAGTAGGCTTCCTGCGGAGCAGGGAGCCCATTACACGGCTCGATACCAAGACCTCAGGATCACGACCCGAGTCGAAGGCAGATGCTTAATGACTGAGCCACCCAGGCGCCCCTGAAATAAATAAAATCTTAAGAAAAAATAAAGTTACAAATAGAAAACCCTAGCTTTTCTTTAGGTTGTGAAATTCAAATTATTAATCTTATTTTTTAAATCTATAACTATCGTTTTGATTAGTTGTGTATGCTTCCATTTACAAGCTGAAATTCCCTTTAGCATTTTTTTTGAGATTTATTTTATTTTAGAGAAAGAGGGAGGGAGGGAGAGTGCAAGCACTGGGGGGGGACACAGAGGGAGAGAATCTCAAGCAGACTCCCTGCTGAGCGCAAAGCCAGACACAGGGCTCTATCCCACCACCACTGAGATCATGGCCTGAGCTGAAACCAAGAGGACAATTAACCGACTTCGCCACCCAGGCGGCCCTGCCCTTTAACATTTTAAACTGCATTTATACATGTACAGTCTAAACTTATTTTTTAGCATTTGTTGGCGGTCTTATCAAGTATTTAAGGATTCCCAATTTTGTATTAAAGGTCTAATTTCTCTTAAATTTGTAAATTCTCTTTAATATAACAATTGATGACAAACTAGTATCTTGTACCTTCCAACTTAAAATCACTATCAAAATCAATACTCGGGGCGCCTGGGTGGCTCAGTCGTTAAGCGTCTGCCTTCGGCTCAGGTCATGATCCCAGGGTGCTGGGATCAAGCCCCACATCGGGCTCCCTGCTCTGCGGGAAACCTGCTTCTCCCTCTCCCACTCCCCCTGCTTGTGTTCCCTCTCTCTCTGTGTCTCTCTCTGTCAAATAAATAAATAAAATATTTAAAAAAAAAATCAATACTCAACATGTTTCATGCAGAATCGGATTTATCTGCCATGTCAAATTCTTTTACAATTACATAAGTATCAAACACAAAGACTACTTGTAAACTCAACACAAAAGCACGAATGCTCTCTGGTTTTGATCTGCTTAGTCATTTCCATACATGACTCAATCTTCTGGGTTGAAGAACCCCTCTTAGTAAAAGTCCATCCGAAGCACTTGGAGTGATGTCCTCACTGCCTGAGGGTGTTTGGGGACCAGCCATGATGGCCATGGCCTGGATCTGGGTTCCCTCAGAACAGGAGGGACAAGTTAGGCTTTCTATTGCCAAATCCATGTCCAAGACCAGTTCTGGCAGCTGAACTCTAGGAACCCACCACCTGCTTTTCTCCTGAGGTTCTGAACCTGTGCTGTTCTGGGTGGGGTCCTCCCCACCTTCCCCCTCTGAGGCGGGTACTGGACTGTTATCCCCATATGCCAGGTGAGGGGACCGGTGAGACCTGCTTAAACAGTGGATCTGGGATTCACACTCAGGCAGGCAGGGTCCAGAGTCCGCACGCTCTTAACCCCTGGAGTTATGCCAGATGCCCCAGAGAGCTCCGGGCCTCTGCCCGGGGCCATGACCCGCTTCCCAGGACTAGCCCTGGGCCAGAGTGCTCCCCCAGGGGTTCAGTCCTTCCTTTCCCACACCCACTGCCCTCGGGATAATCCAGACTCAACGTGGTATCGGTCCCTGCACAACATGGCTCTTGCCTCCCCCCAGAGCCACCGCTCCCCAGCTCTGCTCCTCGCACAGCGGGCAGCCTGCAGTCTCCTGGACATGCCAGCCTGTCTCTCCCCACCCAGGCTCCCTCTTCGGAGCTCGCTCTCCTCCTTTCTAGTCCTTTCGGTTCCCAGCTCCGAAGTCGTTTCCTCCGGAGAGCCCTCCCAGGGACTCTGGTTGAGTGCCTCCTCCGGGTCCCGCGAACGGGCGAGGCTGGACTTCCGTCCTGTCTTCACCGCCGGCCTGGGAAGCAGTCCGGGATCCCTGGGACCGGAAGCCCCGCCCAGGGCCTGGCACGTCGTGTCGCGAGCGCCCTGGAGTTGGTGCAGATTCCGTTCCGGGTTCTGGCCGGCAGTAGAGACCCCGGGGCCATTGCTCACAAAGGCCGCGCTAACAGGAAAGAGAACTTAGGCCCGGAGAAGGCCGCGAGCGGGCCCCGGAAAGGCTGCCCTGAACTAACATCCAGCTCCGCGCCGTCGCCGGCGGTGCGTGGCCAGGATCAGAGCGCCGGGAGCCCGCGGCGGCAGTCGCCCAGTAAACCACAACTCCCGAGAGGCCCTGCGCACCGAGGGGCGCAGACCCCGACTCTCGCGGGAAGGCGGGAGCGCGAGCTCGCGGGCGTGGGCGGGGCCGGAAAGAGGCGCATTTCAAAGCGGTAATAGATGGTTTTCTTATCCAATAGGATTGGAAAACATACCTCCTGGACCGGTAGACCGCGGGAGTCGAGGGACGACGGCCAATGGGAGTGCGCGGGGGGTGGAGCCCAGGCCTCAGGAGCGGAAGTGGTAGCTGTTGAGGCGGCGGCGTCTTGCTTGAGGGTTACTCCTCCGTGGCTTCCGGGGGTGCTTCCTCGCCCGAGTGCGTCGGCGGCGGCTCCTGCCGCACCAGTCCCGCTCCCGGTAAGTCAGGCTTCGCGGAGAGCGAGCGGCCAGCCAGGGCCGGGCGGAGGCGGGATTCGGACGGCTTCGAGGCCTGCGGAGGCCCGCGGCGCGGCGGCCCGCCGTGGCGCGGCCAAGCCAGCGCGGGCCGGACGCCCGGCCGGGCCTCCCGCGGGCCCGCGGGCCCGCTCGCCCGCCACGCCCCGTGGTCCGCGTGGCCGCCCGCGCCCGGCTTGGCGCGGGGAACGGGCTTGCGAGCGCCTCGCCAGGGGCCTGGGCTGCCCCGGCGGCTGCGGCCGCGGCCGCGGCGCTCGGTTGTAGCGAAGGCAGCGAAGCCGGGGCTGGGGAGCGGGGTGGACGCGCCAAGGTCACTCCGGGAGTCGGGCAGGGCGGCCTGGGGCGCGGGCCTGTGCGGGCCGCTCGGCGGAGGCCCCGGCCAGGTTTTTGTTCCCCTCTGACGCCGCCTCCTTTGTGCGCTCGCGCCGCCGCCCAGCCATCGCTGGCCTGCGCGTCCGCCCGGGCCTCGTGGCGGAGCCTCCTGGGCTGGCGGCACCGGGGGCGGCGGGGGCCGGCCGGGGGAGCGCCCACCCGGGGCTGGGCTTAGGGAGTCCTCAGTTTCCGGTCGTTGCGGGGGGCGCTGGAGCGCTGAGGCCTGCGGCCGGCCCCGCCCCTCGGGCGCCCGCAGAGTCTGAAGAGTGAGCGGGGTCTCGGGGAGGCTAGAGGCCCGACACGGAGTGCTCGGCGAACGCCGCTGTCCGCCCTTTGACCGGTCCAGGGAGAAGGGGGAAGTTTCGGAGCCTGGACTTGCCGCGGTAGCCGTTTTTGTGGGGTTTTGGCTTTTGCTTATCCTTGTCCGTGCCCATCGACGTTCACAGTCACACCTCCGTTCTGCTTCTGCGTCAGGGTCTCGGAGCCAGACCCAGGGTCTGAGCTCCGCAGTCCTGCGCTCAGCCGGGGCTGCCTAAGTGGTTGGGGAGACTGAGGCGGTGGCCCAAGGTCAGGAAGCCATCTAACTGGTTGACGGCAGAGCTAGCCTGGAACCTCGCTTTTCCTGTGGCTGCAGGACTAGGCCTTTAAGTTCAGCGACCAGGAGTTTGGGGACCACTGGCGATGAAGGACAGAGACGTTGAAGGGAATCGCTTTGTGTGACTGGTGGTGTGTTGTTTTTTTTAACGGGTGGGGAGACATACTGGGTTCACTTTTGTCTGAGCTGCCGGTGAAATGGGAACATTCAAGTAGAAAGACGTGGTGTTGCTGGTTTTTGTATTGCCTGAGCTTGAGCTTCTAACTCAGGCTTAAAAATCTTACGTTAATACAGTGTTTATCAATCTTCTTTTTTTTTTTTTTAAGATGAATTCCCCCACCTCTTTGAGTTTTCTTAATTGCCCTCTCCATGAAATGTTACTGCTTCTTACATACCGTAGGTCTTTTTATGTACCGTATGTGTATCTATGCTTTGTACATAAAAAGAATGAGATGTTTTTTCATCCCCTTTGAGAATGCGTACTTTAAAAATTCTAAGTACATTTTGAGGTCTTCTGTGTGCCAAGCTTTCTGCTTGGGGTAGAGCCGTGAGCAGAACAGGCAGGGTACAACTCCTCGTTTAACTGAGGAGCGAGGGTGGAGGGAATGAGAGAAATTCCTTGGGGTTGAAATACATACTGTGGGAGAGACGGGACTGGAGAGGTAAGCAGGAACCGGATGGAAAAAGGTCTTTGCTGTGCCCCAAGTTAATGAATTCAGAATTTACGTTAAGACCACGTGGGAAAAACCACAAATGAAGTTCTAAGCAAGGAAGTAACATGGTTAGGTTTGCATTTTAGAAAAATCACCGTACTGTGAGGATGGCTTAGAAAGATGCGCGAGACTAGTGGCCTCTGGACCAGTTAGGAAGAGAGAAGTGTGACTTGGACCACGGTGGGGACTGGGGACCAAACTCGGGGCAGTGATTGCCAGTCGTGGCAGTTCTCCATTGGCATTTTACTTAAAAGGCTGTTGAAAAGTTCATGTCCAGTAGTTTATACCCCCACCAGTTTCTGGAAAAGATTTGAGGTGCTACTGAATGCAAATGCGTGCAGAAGGTAATTGGTTTTATGCTGTATAAACATGGCTTTGTGTGTTCTTTGTGTGTAAGTTATCAGTGTCATATTTTGAAATTATTTACCTACATCTTTCTCTGACCTTGGATTAGGTGGCTTCTGTAGATCTGACAGGGCTGACTCTTATTTATTGAGGTGTCATTCACATATATGCTCTTGTAACTTACCTTTCCTAACTAGCTTGTTTCTCAGCAGGGCTTTGGGGGTTGTAGAGCAAGGCATTTTAAGGTTTCCCTCTGAGGAGGAAGGCCCACAGCTCAGGCAGTACTGCATCCCAAGGTCAGAGTTCAAGTGTGAGAAAGGCCCTGAGGTTGGATTGGAGAGTGCTGCTACAGAATTACCTTGGAAGGGTTTTTTTCCCCAGGTATAAATAAGGGTTGTCAAGTTTATTATTCATGCCAACACCGAGCAGTGTAGGAAAGGCCTGAAAATGTTTCAAAATAAGTATTATCAGTAGCTTCCTTGTGTAAAATGAAATTATGACCCTAAGGCTTTCCTGGAGTAATGTCTACACCCAACATGGGGCTCAAACTCACAACACCGAGATCTCTTCTAGCCATTATGTCTGTGGAGATGAGATGTTCTTTCCTTTTCTCCTATGGTGATGGTCTGTTTTTAAATCTTCCTTTGTTTCCTGATGGTGATTATATTTTTACTTGCAATGTTAAGGTTCCATATCCCCTTTTCATCCTTTTTTTCACCTCAAAAATACTCTGCCATCTCTGTCAAGCATCTAATGAGTTTGATGGTTTAGTTTCTTTTTTTAAGATTTTATTAATTATTTAAAGATTTTCTTTATTAGAGAGAGAGCATGGGGGGGCGGCAGAGGGAGAAGCAGACTCCCCGCCGAGTAGGGAGCCCGACATGGGGCTCCATCCCAGGACCCTGGGATCATGACCTGAGACAAAAGCAGATGCTTCACTGACTGAACCACCCAGGTGCACCTTGATAGTTTAATTTCAGTGGAAGAAAGTCATGATTTATGTAGTCAGCCTGTTTGTGCTAAGAGAAGGGGACACGGCGGTAAGTATTGGACTTGAAGTCAGGTTGACCATGTTGAGTACAGGAGAAGAAACGGTTAGATTAGGACCAGGAGGAGCAGGAGAAAGGGAGGTAGGTCTTGAAGGATGAACAGGAGTTTCCCAAAGTGGGAGGGGGTATGGGACCCTTGAAGGCAAGGGGACAGTGTGGATCAGATTATGGCCCTGCTATTAGGAAGAGCCTGCAGCAGGTGACTGAAGGCCAGGGTACCAGAGTAAAGTACAGTCAGTTCTGCTTTAAACACTTGTTTGGAAGCATGATTTGTTCCAATGGGATTGATAGACTAGGAACAGTTTGAACAGGGATTTTGAGTTTGCTGTGCATAATTTCATCTATGGGAAATACTAGATGAAAACAAAATAGAACTGAGCTGAATCAAGTCACACTGACTGTAGACAGTACACACCTCATACATCTACCAGCTTTCTCAGTGACTGTCTGTATTATGAGCCACACCCATACACATCTTCTGTTTAAAAAAATTCTCCCTGATTCCCAGTAACTCAGAAGCTGCAACCCTTGTAAAGTATTTGTGCATCTCCTGACCATTTAACACGCGCAGAGGTGTGCTTCTGTTCTCTTAGATTCTTGACTTGTGTGTGTGTGACACTGACAAAGGTTTTTAGCACCGTTCGCCTGATTTCATTGTTTTCCCGTAAGTCCTGTGGTGTTTTGTATTGTGTGGTATATTTTAGGAATACACATGTCTGTAACTTCAGATGAGGCCAGAAAGGGTAGCATTGGGTTAGGGAAGGGAGGTCATTCTGTGAAGGAGATGGATGTGATCGTTTGGGAACATCTGCACTCTTCTTGGACCTTTTGGAGCCTGGTAATTTTTAAGCTACCGTGTGAAGCCTTTTAACTTCCCCTGGCTCCTTTTCCATCTCTATTAGAGCATTACCTTCATAGTCGGGAGCTTGCTGTACTTTATGAAGCACCCCAGCTGCCACCGGCTATGCAAATGAGGGCGCTCCCACAGTGGGGCACTGCTCAGCTGCTCCCTGCTGTAGGTACAGGCCATAGAATCATATTTGTAAGCTTCTGACCACCTCCCCCCCACCACCTTCGGGGGCTGTGCCTTGGTCATTTTTAGTAGTTCTAGATTGATTCCACACACACCCCTTATTAGGTTCATGATTCAGTACAAGCATCTAAGCCTCCTAGCTGGCTTTTTCTGGCAGGCTTTGTGTTCAGGCACCATCCACACAGACCCAGCATGCCTGCCCCCTCTGAGTGTCATGGGTAGAGTGACCTTGGTCCCAGGGAAGAGTGGAAAGTTGTTGGTGACCTTGGTCCCAGGGAAGAGTGGAAAGTTGTTGATGGCCTCTGCACCTGAGGTTGATATGCTCCATTGGCCTCTGGTATCTTTTCAACCTCTGGAAGGATAGATCCTTAGGTTTCCTTTGTGATACACCCTTGCTCCTGGCCTCCAGAAATTGCCTTGTTTGTATCACCAGGCCACCGGGGCTGAAAGAAAATTAGGTTAGCGGTCAGAGAGGTGGAGAGAGCCACTCAGTTTCACTTCCCGGCTGTCCCCTTCTACAAAGGAGTTGGTTGGATTTAGTATCTTTTGATATCTTCCCAGTTGTTTCTTTCTCCCCACCCCCCCATCCATATGTTTATTTTTTTTTTTAATTTAAATTCAATTGATTAACATATAATGTTTTAATTGGCTTTAGAGGTAGAGGTCAGTGATTCATTAGTCTTATATAACACTCAGTGCTCATTACATCACATGCCCTCCTTAATGTCTGTCACCTAGTTATCCCATCCCCCCACTCCTCTCCCCTCTGGCAACCCTCAGTTTGTTTCCTGTGATTAAGAGTCTCTTATGGTTTGGACACCTGGGTGGCTCAGTTGGTTAAGCCACTGCCTTTGGCT